GAATGATCTGCAGCTGTAGGTGTAGTGGAATGTCTGGTTAAGATGGACTATTCATTGTGACATTTCATTCAAATGGATTTGTTCTTTGACAGTATTTTGTGATAGCGGCAAATTTAATAAGATCCAATAGTATTGTTCAATGGAAAGCACACTAGGACTCGAGTGGAATTTGGCGTTTTTGTAAGTAGTGATTCCAAAAATGGCAACAGCTTCATAATAATTATGACTCTTATAAATAAGGTGTATTTTGCATCGCAAGCAATGTATCACAAAAGAAAACTTGGGCTGCATTTCCGCTATTTTTGCGTTTCATTGCTGACTCCCAAAGCCAAAACGTTATACTTAGTTTGCTAATTTTCGTAAACGGATATGACTTTCCGTTTACTTTTGTAACATTACAGTAATAAATTATAGTTCATTGTTGTTTTGTCTTCGAGAAATAAGCAAAAGGTCGATTACAACCGTCCCTAACCCAGACTCCATATACCAAACATCTGTTAACAAAATCATACGACTTTGACCGGAATTCAGACCCATGGTCAATCACTGAGAAAGTAGTTGTTGCTTTACAGCTGGTAGGGCGTGTAATGATCCCGTTTTCAGTCTAATAAATCAACACACAGATTAGTCCGTCAGGTGCTTCCTTCTAAGTCCCGCTTTAGCCGCATCCCATCCATCCAAAGGTGCCGCATCCCATCTATCCAAACGCGTAATCAGCACACAGATAGTCCGTCAGGTGCTTCTTTCTAAGTCCCGCTTTAGCCGCATCCCATCCATCCAAACGTGCCAATCGATATCGACGATAAAACACAACCAGATAATAAATGCTACAACTCAAAGAACGACATAAGACATCGCGATAACATACTGTGGGGTGCAGAGGTCGCGACCGCTGACTGCTCGCATATATGGGCCGACTCATAGCCCAATGAATAAAATATGTGATGTCTTTATAATATATGGTGTCACCGGTATTTCGTATCAAAGTGAATTTATGTATTCATTCATGTTTTACGTACTAAATACCTCACAAACCTGTTTTCCAATTTCGTATAGGATGAGAACAAGTGAACCACGAAAACTACACGGAACTAATTCAAGTACCATCCATACTTGATTACTTTTCTCAGATAAGTATAAATAATTTGGTTTTTTGTAATTTATTTGCAGCTACCCCCTTTCTCTACGCTAGCCCTCGTGACCGTGGATTTGTTAATTTTGTGTTCCATTACGTTGAAGTTGCATTTAGTTCATTGCGTTCAATTCTATAATCTGCCTTATTTTTCAGGAGTTTCCGGAACAACCTGTGTTGGTATGACCAGCAGACCGGCAGCAGAGCAGCTTGGCACCCCCTTGAAGGAGTAAAATGTATCCGTGGACATCGCATCGCTGATTGGCTGCAACCTCAGTCGGTCGCCCATTTTGCAAACCAGCCAGTTCAGTTTCAATATATTAATTTATATTGATATTGATATTGAATATATTTATTGATATTGAGCGATCCATTAGCGAGACTATTCAAAAACTGTGTGAAATTCGATAATTCTAAAATTTCGAAATTTTTATTGATGTAGCCCAAAGCCAGATTTAATTTAGCAATATGAAAAATACAATCTGTAACCTACATCAAGACACCAAATCAGAAACAAATCTGATAAAAATACTAACTCTTGCCGAGACTCGAATCTAGGACTCGGTTTTTATGGTCATAAGCGACTTGAGTGCTCTTTGTCGACGTTTGAATACTCTGCTAACTTTTTATTTTTTTATTTTTTTTATTGCTTAGATTGGTGGACGAGCTCACAGCCCACCTGGTGTTAAGTGGTTACTGGAGCCTATAGACATCTAGAACGTAAATGCGCCACCCATCTTGAGATATAAGTTCTAAGGTCTCAGTATAGTTACAACGGCTACCCCACCCTTCAAACCGAAACGCATTACTGCTTCACGGCAGAAATAGGCAGGGCGGTGGTACCTACCCGTGCGGACTCACAAGAGGTCCTACCACCAGTGATTACGCAAATTGTAATTTTGCGGGTTTGTCTTTTATTACACGATGTTATTCCTTCACCGTGGAAGTCAATCGTGAACATTTGTTAAGTACGTATTTCATTAGAAAAATTGGTACCCGCCTGCGGGATTCGAACACCGGTGCATCGCAACAACGAATGCACCGGACGTCTTATCCTTTAGGCCACGACGACCATAAACTACTACCGTCAATTTTTTTCAAATTTCAAATACTATTCATATACATTTAGTTTTCTTTATACACAGAAAGAACTAACAGTATCTTCAAGTTTGATTGTTTTTCTGAATTGAAGTTTTCACTTTGCGATGATACAACCCCTGGGGCTAGATATTCCAGGCGAGATTAAGCCGTAAAAGTATTTCTAATTATAATGGGGATGGTTAGCGTGGTATGAACATGTGATGCGTAGAGAGAAGATGCATGTGACTAGGAGATGTATGGAAATGGTAGTACAAGGTAGAGGGGGAAGAGGTCGACCAAGGAAGACATGGATGGAGTGTGTGAATGACGATATGAGAGAGAGAGGAGTGAGTGTTGAGATGACGGCTGATAGAAGAGAATGGAAGAGAAAAATTAGCTGTGCCAACCCCATCTAGTGGGATAACGTGGAGAATAAGAAGCAGAATGCGGTCCTACTTATAAAAACTACATAGATTACAATAATAATTACTTAAATTACCAGAAAGATGTGCATAAATCACATGACAACACTGTTTTTAATCGGCCCCTTTCTTCTTAACGGTAATGTACCGCAGAGGTTCTTCGATAATAATCCAGTCCAGATAAATTGAGAATAAGAGTATGAAGTTTCGGCATCTTCCACATACTTATACTATTATTTTTATTTTTTTATTACATCCTTGGGTGGACAAGTTCATAGCCCACCTGGTGTTTAGTAGTAACCGCCGTAACCGGAGCTCATCTAAAACGTAAATGCCACCTTGAGATATGAGTTCTAAGTTCTCACTATAGTTACAACGGCTACCCCACCCTTCAAACCGAAACGAATTACTTCTTCACGGCAGAAATACGCAGGGCGGTGGTACCTACCCGTGCGGACTTACAAGAGGTCCTACCACCAGCAATTACATAATTATTTTCAATTGTCGCATCTAAAATAGGATCCCTTAGTCATATCCTGATTTACCAATACAAGACCTATCATTTCCGAGAAAGGTTCAAGTCAGCAACTGATCGTAAAGCTTAGCCAGGAAATTGTGGCAGTCTCACTTAGTCATGTTAGAAGCAACGGAAAGAAATCCTCATAGTATTTCACGTATTGTAGTGACTTGATATTGCCCATAGTGCCAATTATAACAGTAACCTACCGGCTGGGTTAGACGGGAATGTGGCATTAAATTCAGCATGAGAATACCCCGCCAGATAGGTCATTAACGTTTTAATAAATTTTGTTCGTCCGCCGTAACATGCAACCAATTTTATATTAGTACTCGCTAGATCTTGGCACAATACAGCTGTGTTGTGTTGATAGGCTTAGAAGTTTATCCAGATTTATTCGGATATTTTTTTGTTTCGGAAAATACCATTACAATATTTAAAGTAAATGTTTAATTAACATATTCTTATCAAGTCACAATTATTTTGGGTGGACAAGCTCGGAAAATTGCCGGGTTTTTATGGAATATTTAAGTAGCGATTAAAATTATTATCAATGAGATGAAGCATATTTGTGAAATTTATTCCTCAATAGAAATGGAATAAGCCTACATGGAAAACTATTAATTTTATGCTATTCTTGTTAAGTATTGTAAAATTATTTCAGAACTACAACGCGAAAATCTTCCCCTTTTAATCAGTGTAATATTTCATTTAAAATTCACCAAATACTTAATTTACAGTTTTCTACTAGCATAGATAGGCAGACGATTTCAATTACCATCTGGTATTAAGCATTTATGTTTCGAATTGAAAGCTCGTAATAATAATAATAAAAAACGGGATGTAAATTTAATTTAACTTATTCAACTGAAGAAAAAAAACAAAAGACTAAAAAATTGAAAAATATGTCCATTACTAGTTACAAATAAAATTTCTACATTTGGATAGGGAATCACTAAAAATATAAATTTCATTATTCATATTGACATGCTCCTTGTAAAGCGAGGAGAGCAGAGGGAGGGCGAAATGTGGTTCTGTGTTGGTTATTTTTATTGGGTAGATGAGTGAATGAACTAACGACTCACCTGATATAAATCGGTTACCAGAAACCACAGACACAGTAAATACCCAAGAATCTCGTTCGATCCCGAAAGAGCATACCAATTTCACCTTTACGTATCAATACATTCTACATACATTATTTCTAATGATTAGTTAAACTTTAAACTTCGTTGGTATTCACACTAAATAACAAACGTAATATCGACTTGAAAAGTTTTAGAAGTAGAAATTGACCACTTAGCTTTTGATGAAGTTGAATAAATTGTTATATTTATAATCAGCACCAGACAGTTACATTTTCTATGGATTAACAACAATCAAGACTGGCCGTTACTCAGTTTGGCGTGATAACTCTAACACCGAACCCAAAAATAACATTTCATATCCTTCATAAAAAGGTTAATTCATCACTCACGATCCCATCACGTGATTTAGTTTTCTCGGAGACTTTTCTTACAAAAGCTAGTCATCAATAGGTACATACATCCTGAGACCTGATTTTGGAGGGCAATCGTGTTTGACAAACATTAAACATTTGTCGAAACTGAGATTTTAAAACTTATATCTCAAGGTGGGTGACGCATTTACGTTGTAGATGTCTCTGGCCTCCAGTAACCACTTAACATCAGGTGGGCTGTGAGCTCGTTCGCCCATCTAAGCAATAAAAAAAAGAACGAACGTATCGAGCTGCAAAGCGCGCCGTTATAATTATACGAGAAATTCCCGGAATCCGTTTTAAATATACGGCAACACGGCTCATGAGTGCTGCAGTAACCGCGTACAGAGCGAGGGTAACACCCGCGTCGATCGCGAAACAAAAAAAATATAAAAATTTTCACGTAACCAAACTACTAACAGTGAATAACGAACTATAATAAAATTATAATTAAACAAAAAGCGCTGATACAGTAAGTATTACGAATGGAACAATCGAAATATTTTAAAAATAAAACGCGCGGGAATATTTTTGACATAACAATTTTTTTTTTTTTTTTTTTCGTTTGCGGTTTTATGGTGGCCACCGTATCAATGGGTGTTGTGTTGGGAATATAAGTACCTATATACTTTTTTTGATTAAACACACTCGAGAGTACTATTTGGATGGTGTCCAGGTATAAAAATACGTTGCCTAACGTCGCTTCGTGCACGTATGAGAACTGGGACTGGGAACGTCGCGTCACTGGCTGGCTGTACAATATTGTGATAAGAACTATTTAAGAAAAAGAAAAAAAAGTACCTACCTAATATGAAGTTTTTTGCGCACCAGCAGATTGAACATTGAACTTTTTAAACTCTCACGATTCAAATGCACGAATATAAAACTGTATACTCTTTTCAAATACAACGTTGAAATACTTCATTAATATTGAAGTATTTTGAAAACGTTCTTCAAGTGGAAGTGATCAATAGTTAAAAATATTTTATGCTCCGAATGATTAGGTAGAAACCCTAATTTACTCGATTTACCTCGAGTTTATCTAATTGCTGTGAAGAACCGTACAGAATAATTCATACTTAGACCTCATGCCTCAACGTGGTTGACGGTATTAATGTTGCGATGTCCATGGACCCCAGTAACTACTTAACATAAAATAGGCCATATTCATTTCCGAACTGTCCAGATATACTTTTCAAATTCCCGATGTTTCCCATCGGAAAAACCATTGAGAATATCATGTTTATTTGCATGCTGATTTTTCGCATTTGGAATTTTGTTATTTAATTACGATTTATTTTTGATGCGGTTTAAAATACTCAATACCAAAATCTGTTGTATCTTCGTTAACGTGGATGAGCAGACTAGCTCACGGATCACCAGTTTTTAAGCAGGTATCGAACCAAAGACAGCGTAAGAACAAATGGCAGGGTTTTTTTAAAGTAGATAAGTGTGCGCTGATATTGGTATCAACCGCGTTCTTGACCCTCCAATGAAGTTATAAATAGGCATAGACAAAACATTCAGTAGTCTTTTTTTTCCTTTATTTGACAGACGGGTGAATGAGCTCACGGTCTACCTGGCATTTTTTTTGAGTATTGATGGTTTACGAAGGCTTGGTCCGAAGGCTTTTCCAGTTTCACTAGGACAGGTGGACGAGCAAAGGTTCAGCCAGAAGGGGTATGATTTGCTAACAGCTTCCCGAGCGCCTCCGAAGGAGACCTAACAACTCAGAAGCAGCTGATTCGCGAATGAATCTACTCCCGTATCGCAATCGCGACCCGCTGAGAAGATTCGGCGAGAACCCGCTGAGAAGATCCGGCGAGAAACTCAGCGGGCTGATGCATGGGTTAGGTTGCTTTCGAACTCTTTGTCGAGTTCGACGAGTACGGTTTACCTGGTAGTAAATAGTTACCGGACACCTTCTGTGGGTTTGATTTTTTGGGGCCATTCGTGAATATGTATGAAGTACATATTTCATTAGAAAAATCAGTACCTGTCTGCGGGATTTGAACACCGGCACAGTCGCATCAGTCGATAGGAGTTCATCGGGGCGTCTTATCCTTTAGTCCACGACGACTTCAACGACTTTTGTTTAATAGCAATTCACGGGTTTATGTCATCAATTTAAAAAAAATATTTGGAAATCGCGAATATTGGGGTTTTTCCTATAACAGTTTTATAACAAAAAAGTCTTTAATAGAACGAAACATAAGACGTAGATATTTCAAAGAATTACGTAATTAATACAACAATTACATTTGAAAGCAAAGGTCGCCACATTAGTACTAAACGGCCGCCGGTTCACGGACGAATCATCAGGCAAGCTATTTATAGATTCCATCATTAGTTATCAGAAAGAATATGTCGTAGGCAGAATGCGGCCGCTCACGTGTGTATCTAGAGCAATCATAGAACAGAAGATATTTGACGGATGCCTGAATCGCGCTAACGATATTTTCAAGATAAACATACATGTATCGAGGGGCGAAAAGTTATTGGGTTTAAGTGACATTTTTGCAACTTTACAGGAGAGGCATTTACAAATAAAATTTTTTGGAAAAAATATCATAACAAACAACTTCTTCAGTTATTTAATGGGGTAAACTTAATTGAAGTTCAATTAAATACATCGAATTGTTGATGCTAATCTATACTAGTATATATAAATTTACAGTGGTTTTTACGAATGTTCCCTTATAACTCCTGAACCGTGCATCCGATTGACTTGAAACTAGGTATCCATGTAGAATGTAATGTAATGAACGGATAGGCTAATATTTATATGAGTGTTGGACTCCGTACACCAGTCGCGGGGGCGTTAATGATGAGAATCTTTGTGGGGGTGAGAAATAATAATGTTAATTTTGAACGCCCAGCGAAGGGGTCGGGTACAGCTAGTACCAAATAAAACGGAGCTTTAATTACAAAGATCACGTATTAAGTGGAATGTCGCTTAAACCAAATATATATCAAGGGGACAAATGCTACCTGGTAGCAATTCCGATGTAGATGCATTCGCGAAACAGCTGTCCTCGAGCTATCAGGTCTTCTTCGGAGGTGCTCGGGCAGCTGTTAGCGCATCCTACCCCTCTACCCCCCTCCTACCTCTTTTACCTGTCCTGGTCAAACTGAAAAGACCTTCAGACCGACCAGCAATCCTTTCATAATAACAAATTGATAGAAGCTCTATCATCCGAGTCCTTCTTCTGGTCGTATTCCTTCAATATACGCGTCTTCTTCTTCTTCTTCACTAGCGACCCGCCCGCGCTTCGCTTCGGAAACTGTAATTTATTATTGATTTCTCCACTATTTAATGGATGTTGTTATACATATAAACCTTCCTCTTCAATCACTATATCTATTAAAGAAAACCGCATCAAAATCCGTTGCGTAGTTTTAAAAAAGATTTAAGCATACATAGGGATATAGGGACAGAGAAAGCGACTTTGTTTTGTACTATATAGTGATAGTGAAGACTAAGGGCAGTATTACAATTATATGTAAGGATTAATTATTATAAAGTATTACAATATCATCATCAGCAAAGCAGACGCAAATCGACTGTGGGTTTTTCGTGGAAACTTTGAGCTATGCGTCATTTTACAAACGGCCAACCGCGCGGCCTGAGTTGCGAGCTGCTATTTTCTTTCACAAGGAACTCGCACGCCCTCTGTCTTTCATTTATGAAACTGCGAGAAACGAAGCCTTCAGACTCTTGATAGGGACGTATATGTGAAAGGAGACGCATACGTTCTTAAGAAAAGACTATCTGCTCAAGTATCGACTCTTGGGGTTTTTTTTGTTGCCCTTGTAGGCAGACGAGCATACGCCCCACCTGATGGTGATGGGTTATCGTCGCCCATGGACTTCAGCAATGCCTGGGGCAGAGCCAAGCCGCTGCCTACCGCTCAATACTCTCCACAAGCCTCGTTTGATGAAGGACATTTCATAGCGCTTGGGAAACACCGTGGAGGGGGACTCTTGGGTTAGCCTAGGGATTGGATTTCCTGTCGAATAAATTTCTTTACGACAGGCATTTGGTATACCAAGTATGAAGAGACGTTTTCTATCTGTATATATGTATGGAAGTCCTGGATTGGGGTTGTTGAATGTACGTGAATACTTTAATTCGATATTTATAAACAGCGAGAGATAGCTCGTTACTATTGATTCGCAAACCATCACGGTTGGCAAGGAAATGACTATGACTCAATGATCTTTCACAGCGCAATACGGTTTGTTACCTCTTCAAAATTAGCGTGATGTAAAATCTAAGCCGTATAGGTCATATTAAAATTCGTTAAAACTAATTTATGTAGAATGTTTTATAAGATAGTGAGGAGGGTAGTTGTCAAACAATGCGAATTATGACGTCACAGGTATCGAGCGCGTATTTGCGTAATTTAGTACTTTTTTGATAGTAGGACGTATTGTAGGCATGCACGGGTAGATACACCAATCCTGCCCATTTCTGTCGCGAAGCAATAACCTTACGCGTTTACGGGGGTTGAAGGGGGTCACAATTGAGATTGGGATGTGATTTCTCAAAGGAGAAGCATTCACATTTAATGTCTGTGCAATCCGGTAATCACTTTACTGAATATATTTCTAGCTATCAGGGAATCTTTGCTTGAGGGATATTTATTTGTCCGATGACTTCCACGTGTCATAGAAACTTTTTTTTTGGACAGACCCAATTTTTGGACAGACTTTGGGACAGTTTTGGCCCAATTGGTGAGGCATAAGAAATAAGATCTAAGCTTCAATCGTATTGCTACAAAACAGTTCATAAATTAATTAATCCACCTTATAGTTTATTAAAAGTTAAAGTTTCACTGTTACCTTCCATTTAAAAACTTAAATAAATATTCATTCATTTGGAAATTAGTCCCAATTTTTCCACCTTTACCATAATGGAATCTTTTGAAGACTGTAGAAACGATTACATAATATAATATAATCTAAAGCCACAAATACGTGGAGTGCGTTTCCAGATATATTTTACCCACGCCCTCGCTGTTTCTGGAATTAACTCTTACCAAGCTTTATGACATATTTCTCGTTTCAATGTAGCCAACCATTTATCTATATCAGAGTTCCCCAAACTTTTTTGTGTCGTAGACCCCTTGCCATGTTTTTCCGTGTTGGGTAGACCCCCTACTTGCCTGATATTGATTTCCTGTAAATTTCTAACTGCAGTAAAGATTAGTGTTAAAAACTTAAAGTAAAAACACATGTTAATTTATACATTTATTAATTGAATTTAAATTAAAACTACTCAAAATAAAATTTAGTATCTGTTATGTAAAATATACGTAACATAAAATAAACATAAAATAAACTATAAATAAAATTACATAAGCAATAAGTCAATATTTTTAGTGAGAAGGATGAACCTGATGCTTTAATAATAAATCATCAACATTTGGCGTCAACTTTGTAAGGGTTAATCTTAAATCTCCTCGGCTAATGATGTCTTGATATTATAAGATAGTATGATGTAAATAAATAGGTACTATCAGTGCATGTGTTGAGATCCACCATCGTGGACCCCCAATTTTTTTTTCGCGGACGTAGACCCCTTGCAGTTTGCCATAGACCCCTAGGGGTCGATATAGACCACTTAGGGAATCACTGATCTATATACATATTCTGTGACGGCATTAATAGGCAGAAGGTATACCTCGTTAAAGTGTTTATGTTCCAATATCCACCTTGAAATAAGATCGAATTTTGGAGAACATTAAAAGACAAAATTAGTTATCGAAATGCGCAAGGAATTCACAACAGTAATAAACAAGAGAGCAGTATCAGCACCACTAATTGTGGGACATTGAACTCCTTTTTAAAAGAGCGGCTACAAAATTTTTAAAAGCTAAATCTATATATATATAAATTAATTACTGTTCGTTAGTCTCGCTAAAACTCGAGAACGGCTGGACCGGTTTGGCTAATTTTGATCTTGAATTATTTGTGGAGAGCCAGAGAAGGTTTAAAAGGTAAATAAACATGAAAATGTTCGGAATTAAATAAAAATAACAATTTTGTGTTTCCTTTGATGTGTCCCCCGTCGGACGGATTCGTTTTGTTTGTTTTAAGTTAATTTTTTACAAAAGTTTAGGTCTTTTATTTATCGATTGAGGCACTACGAAGTCTGCCGGGTCAGCTAGTTAGTTAATAGATAGATAGTGCCTTGACAAAAATTGAAGGAAGAAGTAGAAGTTGGAAGAAGTAAAATCTTCATGAAATGAGTAGAAATTTATGCATTTTTTGACGTAATTCGAGTAGCACGACGTAGCACAAGGCCGCAGCTGAGACAGTCCCGGATTCCTTGCATTATGTCTGGCCGACGCTCGGCGTGGGATGCGTCTCGCCCAGCAATCTACGCCAATTATCACTGAGAAAGAATTCTGCGTTTCAACACCAGATTATGCGTATTATTCTAACAGGTGTATTTAGAATAGAATAGTAGAAATCAATTTAATCTATCTAATCTAATATCTTTAAACGAGCAATTGTTGTACATATGTATATAGTCTGAATCTCGGAAACGGTTCCAGCGATTTTCATAAAATTTAGTATACAGGGGATTTCGGGGCGATAAATCGATCTAGATACGATTTATTTTCAAAAAATGTTATTTTATTCGTGTTTTCAATAATCAACTTTATTGATAATCGACTTAAACATAAACTTTTTTTTTATTGAAAGAAAATAACAAATAATGTAATATCATATCAATATGTAATTCGTATTTAAATATAACTTCTAAAAAACACAATTTATTAAAAAAAAACCGAGCATCCTCTAGTATTATTAAAACTTAACAAATACGAAGGGAATAAAGCAGAGTTTTTCGTAGTTTTTATCGTAGTCTGGCTTACCATGTTAATTACTTTTACCTACCAAGCGAACAAGCTTACCTATAGCAGTATTTGTAAAGCAAAACTACCGCGAACTTTCTGTCTATCTATAAACTGAGCAACAAAAGCCACTCGACAGCTATCTTCCCTCTTTATTACGAAACAAACACGAGCTACAGGGTACAGTATTTACTGGTGGTAGGACCTCTTGTGAGTCCGCGCGGATAGGTACCACCACCTACCCTATTTCTGCCGTGAAACAGTAATGCGTTTCGGTTTAAAGGGCGGGGCAGCCGTTGTAACTATACTTGAGACCTTAGAACTTATATCTCAAGGTGGGTGGCGCATTTACGTTGTGGATGTCTATGGACTCCAGTAACCACTTAACACCAGGTGGGCTGTGAGCTCATCCACCCATCTAAGCAATAAATAAATAATAAATAATAAGAATGTGTTCTGCCCAAAGCGGGCTCAGTACTGATATTTTTTGGCATTTCGCAATGACGACACCATTGTTGTAGTTGAATGGAATGGTACAGATAATGGTAGAAGAAGAAAGAGAAGGAAAGCGTGCGATGGCAAGCGGACTGTGGGATGCTTGAGATCACAAGGCTCAGATGTTTTTATTTATTGCATAAATGGGTGGACGAGCTCACAGCCCACCTGGTGTTAAGTGGTTACTGGAGCCCATAGACATCCACAACCTAAATGCGCCACCCACCTTGAGATGTAAGTTCTAAGGTCTCAAGTATAGTTACAACGGCTGCCTCACCCTTCAAACCGAAACGCATTACTGCTTCACGGCAGAAATAGACAGGGTGGTGGTACCTACCCGTGCGGACTCACAAGAGATTCTACCACCAGTAACCACCATTGTCCGAAGAACATATTTCCAACATGTTCCATTCTTTAAATCTTTGAAAGAAGTCTAGCTTTGTCTAGACTGTGATCTATACATATAAATAAAATTGGAGTGTCTGTTTGTAATATTGAAATAACCGCTTTTTACTACATGCATATGAATATATTATTATATACGTTACATACACCAAAATATCATTTTTTACAATTTTTGTCTGTCTGTCTGTCTGTTTTTTCCGGCTAATCTCTGGAACGGCTGGACCGATTTTGATGAGACTTTCACTAATAGGTAGCTGATGATATAAAGAGTAACTTAGGCTACTTTTTTTGACTAGCTTCGTCCCGCGGCTTCATCCGCGGTACGACAATAACGGCGGGTAACATCGCGCGACTTAGCTATCAATAATAAAATTTAATGTTTCCGAAACGAAGCGAGGGCGGGTCGCTAGTTGTAAACATAATTATAAAGAGAAAAAAGAGTTTCCAGTGATAAATTGTTTTTTTTTTCAACAGGTACAAAAGCAATCATGGGCTCCATGTTCCGGAGCGAGGAGATGGTCCTCTGTCAACTCTTCGTTCAGCCGGAGGCGGCCTACGTCTCCATGTACGAGCTAGGAGAAGCTGGTATTGCTCAATTCCGAGATGTGAGTTATCCATCGAATTTTTCATTTAAGCACACGATGTGATTTCTTCATTAAAGTCGTTCGTAAACTCTTATTAGGTTAATGTTTTAGGCAGCGGCTTGGCTCTGCCCCTGGCGCCCTTGCTATACGTAAAACAAACCGTAAATTTTTTATAAATCAGCTCAACAACTGAGGTGAAGGGGGGCGCTGTAAGACCGCACGGTAGGAACCGCCTATATCTTTTTTTTTTTTTATTGCTTAGATGGGTGGACGAGCTCACAGCCCACCTGGTGTTAAGTGGTTACTGGAACCCATAGACATCTACAACGTAAATGCGCCACTCACCTTGAGAAATAAGTTGTAAAGTCTCAGTATAGTTACAGCGGCTGCCCCACCCTTCAAACCGAAACGCATTACTGCTTCACGGCAGAAATAGGCAGGGCGGTGGTACCTACCCGCGCGGACTCACAACAGGTCCTACCACCAGTAATTACGCAAATTATAATTTTGCGGGTTTCACTTTTATTACACGATGTTATTCCTTCACCGTGGAAGTCAATCGTAAACATTTGTTGAGTACGTATTTCATTAGAAAAATTGTCTGCAGTAATACGTTCCGGCTTGGATAACAGCGGTAGGCAGCGGCTTGGGCGGTAGGTAGGCAGCGGCTTGGCTCTGCCCCTGGCATTGCTGAAGTCCATGGGTGACGGTAACCACTAACCATCAGGTGGCCCGTATGCTCGTCTGCCTATAAGGGCAATAAAAAAAATGTTTATTTTGAAAGTTTACCGCAGGATTTGAATCACATTACAGACGTATCCTTCGAACCGAAACCGCTGTGCACCTTACCTATTACAATACAGTGCTAAATTTGTTACTATCTATCTACTACTGCTATCTATCTACTACTATCAACGGTAGGCAGCGGCTTGGCTCTGCCCCTGGCATTGCTGACGTCCATGAGCGACGGTAACCACTCACCATCAGGTGGGCCGTATGCACGTCTGCCTATAAGGCAAAAAAAAAACTTTATGTTGGTTGACAAACTATCAGCCTGTGTAGTCATTATGAATCGTGTCAAGGCTACATTCATACATGCCCGCTCTAGAGCCGGCCACCCCTTTATAGCAACATGCTCTTTGAACTTCCGCTACACACGATAATCTACATTATTCTACATCTGCAATAACATCGTGCAATCGTTTGATTCTTTACATGTGTAGCTAAACATCAGAGTCTAACCCATTTCTACTTGTAACTATACTTGAGACCTTAGATCTTATATCTCAAGGTGGGTGGCGCATTTACGTTGTGGATATCTATGGGCTTCAGTAACCACTTAACACCAGGTGGGCTGCGAGCTCGTCCACTCATAAAAGCAAAAAAACACGTGTGGCACTCGGGGACTGCCGCGGTAAAGCTATTACAAAGCATTTTTTATCAACTTATGCAATTACAATTAGACAATAATAATTTAATATTAAAACAATAATAAAAATAAGACCACGCTATATTTATAAACATTAACAAAAGCAAAACATTAACTGTCCCCTTCACACTCATAAGCTAGACCGCGTAAGAGAGAGATGGGCAGACTTTTCATGATGCTCATGCAGTGCGACGTCACGCCACGCACTTATTCACAAACACTACACCAGCGCAACGTGTGAATGTGTTGAACGCGAGCTACATAGTAGGCGTAGTGGGGGTGTCCGGTTATTTTCGTTACGGAATTTCTTGATTCAGTCGCCGCACTCAAGGCCCGCCATAGAAGCTATGCAATGGCTTAAAAAAAAAACTACCGAAAAATCTGGTGCCGTGAGCTTGTTTGAAAAGCTTGTGTCTATGAACAAAACATTGCACGCAGCTAACAATTTTTCTCAATAATATCGATAAACGATCGTAAAGATAAGTATTACTCACCGAATAAGTTGAAATTTCTCGTGTACGTAACAATTGAATTGTGCAAGTTATTGTAGGATGCAATCGAACGCCGGCTATTATCATACGTTGACACAATAGTTATCTGTTTAAAGAATACAATATTTACTGTAATTAGAAGTTACGTAAGATCTTATCGGTATTGTCGAAAATACACACAAGTCCGGAGCGGCGTTTCACGGCTTAGAGTTTTAAATCGGCCGATACTGGGCAACGATCGCCTTTGCGTTAGATTGCGCGCTGACGAGAAGTAATCTACATGTATGACAACAAGCAAAAACCTTTTTCCTTCCTGGCTGGGCCCATGCTGGTGAAACATGAAAGGGCTCCGGGCTACAAGTAATTTTTCCTACTGATGGTAGGAGCTCTTGTGAGTCCGCGCGGGTGGGTACCACCACCCCGCCTATTCCTACCGTGAAGCAGTAATGCGTTTCGGCTTGAAGGGTGGGGCAGCCGTTGTAACTATACTGAGACTTTAGAACTTATATCTCAAGATGGGTGGCGTATTTACGTTGTAAATGTCTATAGGTTCCAGTGCCCACTTAGCACCAGGTGGGCTGTGAGCTCGTCCACCTATCTAAGCAATAAAAAAAAATCTTTCCAAAAACAAAACTTCTATCCTTTTCTGTTTATCATCCTATTCTTTAGTTAGTTACTGAAGAAGGGCTTAGGGTTGGCAAAAAAGAATAATATTCAAAAAATTTTTAAATATTCAAAAATCAAACAGTAAATTTAATTTATAAACACATAAAAAGTTAGCGGCATCGTCATGAATTTATCAAGTTAAAGTTATTTGTTAAGTAAATATATTAATATATTCCTTTGAATACTGTATAAACTATTATATGTACGCATGTGTGTACGTATGTGTATATATATTTGTGTATATATGTATATAATATATATTTACGCTTATTTGTATATTTATATGGTACATATTATATGGAACGTATATATTTTTATGTATGTGTCTGTAATTTAATATAAATTTAAGTGCACTGTACCACTGTTTACTCTGCATTACCTTTGGTTGACTGGTATAGAATGCCTTTGGCATTAAGTCCGCGAATGTAAATTTTACATGGAGTGTAATTAATAAATAAAATGAATGGGACCGAAACCAGGAATGTTTATTTCCATCGACACCACAACGTGCCACCCACGTGGGGCATTGGTACATGAGGTCGAAATTTTAAACGCTTTGTAGCAATAACGAATCCTAAGATTACATCATGGTAAAAAAAAAAGAAAACTCTTCTGCTCACAAAAAGTAATAAACTTGAATTGTCACAGCACATAAATAAATAAATATTTTAAATAAGTATATTGTATGTGGATTAAGTTTAGCTATATGTGTGTGTAAACTCACTAAATGCCATGTTTGGTTAATTGCTGAATGTTATTATGTAATGTTTGACAATGTTTTATGTCCGGTTATCTAGAGGTCGTGACCTCGTCGCGTGCTCCTTAAAATAATTCGTTGCTTTTCTTGAAGTTTTGTTCGCGAATACTGCATACTGTAAACTCTTTATTTTGCTATCGTTTATAATGTATAAACGGCCGTCTGGTGTAGTGGTAAGTGACATGGTCACTACACAAGGGGGTCGCGGGTTCGAATCCCGCCAAGGGAAGGTATTTGTATGATAAATATAAATGTATTTTCCAGGGTTATGGATGTATCTTAAATACATATATGTATGTGTATAATAAAAATCTTATATTTATTTCCGTTATCTGGTACCTGTAACACAAGTTCTTTACGAACTTATCACGGGACCAGTCAACGTGGTGTTAAAAAAAAAAAAAATTAAACAAAAGTGCACTAATGTTGCGGCGTATTGTGACCTCACCCGAGCACAACCCTATATATGCATCGAATTAACTACCCTCTTCGACATAATTAAAGCTGCCTTTGCCGCATAACCTCGTGTTTTTCATCGTCATGTCGTCAAAATTGTAAAAGCAGTCAAAACTAAATCTACGACTCGAAAGAACCGTAGAAAATATTCCACTTTGAGATTTAATGGGCGGCACAAACGTTCGTAAAACAATTTAAGACTCGTGGCTTAAGATGACATTTCATTCGTGTGAACTTCGGTATCTACTTAACGGAAGACGGGCTGCAATTTCGTCTGTACATTTAGAATAGCAAGCAGATAAACGTCAAAGACATAGTTTAAGGTCAAGTTCATTGACAACTACATTTGTTTTTTTTAAAACTAAAATATACATTACGAGTCTGCGAAGGGACATCGGTTCCCTCTGTATTTTGTACCGTATGTTCCATGGGGAGTGCTCTGAGGAATTGTTCGAGATGATACCTTCACCTCGTTTTTACCATCACACCGCCCGCTACCGGAGTAGAGTTCATCCATACTACCTGGAGCCACTGCGGTCGTCCACAGTGCGTTTTTAGAGATCTTTTTTGCCACGTACCATCCGGCTATGGAATGAGCTCCCCTCCACGGTGCTTCCCGAGCGTCATGACATGTCCTTCTTCAAACGAGGCTTGTGGAGAGTACTAAGCGGTAGGCAGCGGCTTGGCTCTGCCTGTGGCATTGCTGAAGTCCATGGGCGACGGTAACCACTCACCATTAGGTGGGCCGTATGCTCGTCTGCCTACAAGGGCAATAAAAAAAAAGAGTATACTAGTTGTTAGAAGACCGCTTCCGAAAACGAAGACAGACGATAGTACTAATGACACTTTGATGACAGAAAGGAAAAAATCGATCCTGATTAAAAAAAAAATATATCATATTTTTAAAACGTTTTATTAGTATTATTTACGCTCTATCATGTTAGTACAGCTAAATGAAACAATAGTTTCAGAAAAATACACTACTTTACTTAAAAAAAAACCAGCAATGAAACACAAAATCAAAAACAGCTGATGCTCGGGTCAACGAATGCACGAGCGCGGCACGATCGCACAATTACTTATTTACACACGTCATTTCGGATCCTCCCGATCCACTAACGGTGCTTTTAGGTACCTCCAGCACCGGTCATCGTTCTTGCGATGGGTTCGAAGAGTAAATTAACCCACAGACACAGCCCACTGAGTTTCTCGCCGGATCTTC